AAAATGCATTTTGTTATGCAAAAAATTCCCTGGTACTATCAAGTACCAGGAAGATTATCATGTGCCTTTTTGAAATGAACTGATATTTAGGTTAGGTAGGTATTTTTGTGATATAGTCCACAGAAATGGATTTTAAGTTTTATATATGTATATTTAGTAATTGGATATATCATAATATCACATAAAAATTAATAACAAAATTAACAACTGGTCCTAAAGGAAATGTAAAAACTTATATATCAGGTAAGATTATTTATCCCAAGTAATGGAAATTAGAGCAATGACTAAAACGTGTATGTGTATAGTTCAGAATAAAAACAATGCACATATATTTTCTGACTGCTCAAGTATTTTTAAAGAATCTAGTTTTGTCATAAAAAGTGTCTTATTTATTTGAAAATTCTAAGTATGTAAATACTGAATTCACTATCATGTTTATAATTAAGTCTTGGTTAAGCAAAAAAGTCTTTAGTGCAATTAAAAGACACAGAAAAGAAAACTGCTTTCTGTTACACATGGGTATAAGAAACATTGAGAAGAAACTAAACAAGGCAGTCCTCTCATTGTCCACCATGATTTGTTGATTTCATGCACTAATTTATTCCTTAGCTCTCTTTCTCCCCTATATTACATTGCCATCAACCTCAAACAAAAAAATAAAAACCAGCTGCTCCTTGCAATGCCTTTGTATGTTTTCCTTCAGGTGGGAGAAGTGGGGGTGGAGGGAGGTCAGGAGAAAGAGTAACCATGAAAAAATGTAACACTCTACCTTTATAGCTAGAAAATTCAGTCCGCTCTCATTGGCCAAAGCCTTTGCTATCATTGTTTTAGAACATCCAGGTGGCCCATACAGAAGAACTCCTTTAGGTGGCTGAATACCCATTCGGACGAAAGACTCTGGATGTTTCAAGGGCCACTCAACAGCCTGTCTCAATTTCCGTTTGATATTTTCCAGTCCTCCTATATCTGACCAGGATACCTAAAAAACAAAACATTTACTAAATATAAGTTTTGCCAGAACGAACAGAGAATTAAAAAAAAAAAAATCAACAAAACTGTGAAGGGAAGAAAATCATTTAAGAATTAGAAAGATTCTTAAAAAAAATTCCAATACCAAGAAATTAAGAGTACATAAAATAAAATGTAAGCTGCATATTGCAAAAATACATAAAACCAAAATATTTCTGCTTGTAAGTCTTATATATTAATAAATGTTTAAATGATTGAACATATCATTAAGTCTATCCTTCTTAAAAGTTCTTAAAAGTCAAGTTTCATCTGTCTGACGATGGTTAGTCAGTGATCCAGGGTCTCATCTGCATACCTAACTATTTCTTCTTCTTTTTTTTTTTTAGCAAAATTACTTCCACGCATATTTTTTTTAGCTCCTTATGGAATATATGATCTTTTTACCTTTGGCATACATAAAGTATCCTCAAAATTTTGTTCCTTTTTCCTCAATTAATACTCCAAAACAAGATAGTCCTTTATACATACCTCTTAAGAACGAACTATTTATCAGATAATGTACACAGGAAACAGAAAAGAATGAGACATGAATCCACACTTTAAAGAACTTACAAACTAATAACAACCAGTAACATGCGCATAAATAACCACAGTACAATGGAAGGATACTAAGTACAATAACAAAGAAACAGAAAAAGGCTGTGGGAGTTCCCGGGAAGAAAAGATTACTTCCAGCTGGAAGATAAATCTGAAAGCCAATTTTTGAAGGATGGATGGAATTTGGAAATGTTACAACAGGGGAACGGTCAGGTGGAGGCACAAAATGACAAAAGGCTCAGAAGGAAAGAAGTATAAAGAGGATGACAGAAAAAAGATCTGAAAGAGGGAAACAAAGAAAAGTTGAAGTCATACATCATAGGGCTCTGAAGATGAGATGAAGAAATGAGACGAAGGAGTTCAAGATAACTCTTTGTACACAGTAAGTCTTTGCAGGTTTTTAATCTAGAAAGTGATACATGGTCTGATCTGTGTTTCTGGAAGACTTCTCTGACAAGATTCATCAGCGAGGAGACAGCAAGGAGACCAATTAAGAACATATTAAATATTAAATTTAAAATATTTAAAAATGAAACAAATAAAGCTTGAACTAGGGTAACCACATGCACATAAGACATACCAGAAAGATACTGCAGAGCTATGGCTGAAGGTTCTAAGAACAAAATAAAAAACAGAGAAAACTTAAAGCTAAAGATTTTATCATGGATAGAAAGAAAGAATATGGACCACAGAAGAATATCTTTAGGAGGGAAAATAAATGTGATAGATTTTTTTTTTTGGATACACAGAGTTGGAACTTATGATACTCAAAAGATCAAAAGTGAGCATTTGCACCTATAATCCTAGCACTTTGGGAGGCCAAAAGTTTGAGACCTGCCCCTGAGCTACCCATGGCAAGACCCTGTCTCTACAAAAAATATAAAAATCAGCCGGGCATGGTGGCTCAAGCCTGTTGTCCCAGCCACTTGTGATGAGGCAAGAGGATTGCTTGAGCCCAGGAGTTGGAGGTTGCGGTAAGCTAAGATGATGCCACTGTATTCTAGCCTAGCTGACAGAGCAAGACAGTGTCTCCAAAAAAAAAAAAAAAAGAGTGAGCATTTGGAATATAAGCAGAACAAATGGAGCATGGAGCTCTGGAAAGATGACAGGATTGGAATTTTAGATTTCAAGATAACCTCATATAACCAAGAGAAGAGAGGTGTGGGTCAAAGGCAGATCATTGGGCATGCCTACATTTAAGATGTAGGAGGGAAGAAGCAGGAAGAAACGCCAGATAACAGACAATTTACAAATACAAAGGAGATGAGAGAGTTTTGCTTGTTAATATCAGGAAAAGATTACTTTTTTCAAATGAACTTATGGTTTAGTGGGGGGATTTTGTTGTTTTTGTTTTCTGCTCACAGATCCAGAAGAATGCTATATTATAAACCATAATTCTGAGATCAGATTTATTTATTTTTTTCTAAGTTGCTTTCTTGGGATTTATTTTAAGAAGTAAGATTACTGGATTAAAGGCATGAATATTTACAGGTCTCTTGTATAATGCCAGTTTGCTATCCCAACCATTTTCTCTATTTTAGTGACACCAACAGTAAATATATAAGTTTCCCTGCAGCATCATCGGCCTTGGATTTTATTTTGCCTTTCTTTTTTCTGATTTCTAATTTCACCAATTAATAAAATTAAAAATTAAACTTGAGACCAATACACATGAGCTTAAGGGCCTCATAATATCCAGCTATCACTGGACAGAATCAAATTTACTGTTTACCAGAAGGCAACTGTTATTGGTATAACTGGGCCTGCTTTAGGCAGGAGTGTAGCAGAACTGCCACATCTTGATGGGTAGTTCCTGCTTGTACTCTCTGGTATCTTTAAATCTTTTCTTTTTCTTTAATTTTTAAATTTCATTTTGAAAAATTTGAGACGTATACAAAAGTTGAAAAATCAATATAAGAAATGTCTATATACTCTGTCAAAATTTACCAATTTTAAATGTTTGCTACATTTGCTTTAGTGTGTGCTCTTGTTCTTTCTACAGACACAAATAAAGTACGCACACAGATACTTTATCAATTTTTGAATTTTCTGTTGAACCTTTTTAAAGTAAGCTGCAGATATCATGGCTATTCTCTCTAAATACTTTAACATATCTCTCATAAAAATAAACATTCTGGGAAAAGAGTTTTAAGGAAGTTAGTCTCAAACTAAACAGAGAATTGAGAGGAAATGGTCAGTAGATTTGTCAATAAGGTTATTGAATAAAGTGGTTTAATCAGATCAGTAGTTTATATTTTATGCCTTTAGCAACGGAATATACATATATACACATAAACAACACATATATACATATATATAATGCATACAGTGTGTGTATACTAAATATGACAAATAAAAGCAGTTTTTACAATAGCTATCAAAAATGTCAAGTCAAAGAAGCAATTCCTCAAACTCATAAGAACTAAAATGAGGCCGGGCGCGGTGGCTCATGCCTGTAATCCTAGCTCTCTGGGAGGCCGAGGCGGGCGGATTGTTTGAGCTCAGGAGTTCGAAACCAGCCTGAGCAAGAGCGAGACCCCGTCTCTACTAAAAATAGAAAGAAATTAATCGGACAACTAAAAATATATAGAAAAAATTAGCCGGGCATGGTAGCGCATGCCTGTAGTCCCAGCTACTCAGGAGGCTGAGGCAGGAGGATCGCTTGAGCCCAGGAGTCTGTGGTTGCTGTGAGCTAGGATGATGCCACGGCACTCTAGCCCGGGCAACATAGTGAGACTCTGTCTCAAAAAAAAAAAGAACTAAAATGATAATGTCATTGTTATACTACATGATAGCCATTCACTTGTTACTATGCAATTATTATACAGTGAGAAGAACATACTCTCTGTGAACATTCTCTGTGAAGAGAAGATTCCATACCTTAGAGCAGTGGTCCCCAACCTTTTTGGCACCAGGGACAGTTTTCATGGAAGATAATTTTTCCACGGTTCAGAGGTGTGTGGGTGGGATGGTTTCAAGCACAATTACATTTATTGTGCACTTTATTTCTATTATTATTACATTGTAATATATAACAAAATAATTATACAACTCACCAGAATGCAGAATCTAATGTCGCCACTGATCTGACAGGAGGTGGAGCTCAGACTGTAAATACATGAAGCTTTGCTGGCTTGCCTGACACTCACCTCTGGCTGCTGTGTGGCCCAGTTCCTAACAGGCTATGGACTGGTACCAGTCCACAGCCCGGGGGTTAGGGACCACAGCTTTAGAGCATGGGAGTTATACATTAGGTATTGTAGCAGTGCCGCAGAATATTCACTTATACTAATTCAGACAAGTAAATCTATATAGATAATATTTTCTTAAAGGTTAGTACAGCAGTATATCCTTCTTAATCAATGATTTCTTTACATTCACTTATATGCCCATAAATGGCTAGGGAGGATTTTTTTCTCAAGTCTGTACAAAACTAAATAAACTTGGCAGTACAACCTGATAATCTCCAATGTGATAAAATTTGGTATTCAATACATTTCAGGGTGTTTGGTTTTTAATCAGTCTTTTTTAAAGTCTTTAAAAAGAAATTAAAATCAGATATTGAACCACTGAAGCACCTCCGTGAAACACATATTTTGAAAATCAGCAAAACAAATGATAAGAAAATCCGTATCATAAGAGATGATCTCTTTAGTTAGGCATCAGGATGTAGTAGCAAACAGCGTCACATGAACTAAGTGTTGGAGAGGGCGTGTTCCTCAAGAGAAATTAAGATGCTCTTATCAGAAAACTGAACGTTCACTGAACACAGAACAGTTCAGAAAAAACCAGTGCCCTCTGCACCAGGGGTCCCCAATCTAAGGTGAGTTGTATAATTATTTCATTATATATTAAAATGTAATAATAGAAATAATGTGCACAATAAATATAATGTGCTTGAATAATCCCAAAACCACCCCCAGGTCTGTGGAAAAATTGTCTTCCATGAAAACAGTCCCTGGTGCCAAAAAGTTTGAGGACCACTGCTCTGCATTGTCCTAGTAATCTGTACTGAGGAGCTGGTCCATTGTCCTGAAGGCCATAAGAATCAGTGGAATAGTGTAACAACCCTGTCCCCTACTTCTCTCCTGACATTCTGGGCTCTTGATTCATCAGTGCTCCCTTCTCTATTCCTGTCTTCATTGCATTCTTCACTATATTCCCTCCTCAGCCTACAAATATTCCGTTTCTTCTCTTTCAAAACAACATCTTACTTTGATATTGTTTCTACTTAACACTGTATCATATATCCTTCTTTCATCACTAAACTTCTTAAAAGATAGTTAATACCCCTCTACTCCTGTTGCATTTATATTTCCACTTTATATTTTAAGTTAGTTGAATATTTACCAAGCAGGATCTTCCCATGAAGTGGTAGGAAAGGAGAGTAAAAGGATAAAGATAAAAGGCTTA